GGGGCGCGGGACGGCGCCCAGGCGCCTGCGGTCGGGCTGCGCGGCGCGGCGGGCGGGGAGTCCTCGTCGCCGAGGCCCTCGCGGTGGCGGGGCGGCAGCGGGCGGCAGCGGGCGGCAGCGGGCGGCAGCGGGCGGCAGCGGGCGGCAGCGGGCGGCAGCGGGCGGCAGCGGGCGGCAGCGGGCTGATGAAAGGGCAACACACACACACACACACACACACACACACACACACACACGCACCCTCAAGCCTATGGGGAGGAGGGATGGGGAAGGGGCAAGGAAGGAGAGGCGCCATCGGGCACGGGCGCGAGAGAGCTGTCGGACCCCGAAGGGGCCTCCCGTTCGAGCGGGGACTGGAGCCCCGTCCGACAGCACGCACCCACAGCCCCCCCCCCCCCCCCGGAAGTCCACCCTGAGAAATCTGAGGGTCGCATACCCGTCGGTCGGAAGAAGTGGGTGCAAACATGAAGTAGGAAGGCATTGGAAGCAGATTGGACTTCCGCCCGCCCCCTGACGAGGAAGGAAGAAGGACAACCCTTCGATCATTGAAGTAGGGAGGCGCCAAAAGCAGATTGGAACCCGGGCATCCAGAGATGCCCACCTCCAACGACCGGCGTGCGAAGCACGGGTGCGACTCGCCAGCTCATGCGAGGCACAACAGGTCGGGCTGGCGCGGCGCGGCGCGGCGGGGAGCCCCCGCCTCTCCAGACCGCTGGGCCGTGGGAACCGAAGCGTGTCGAGTCGGCCAAGGCCCACATATCTTTCTGTGGATGCCACGACAATGGACACCCTAACAGTCCTGTCATTGAACTTAAATTATATCTGAAATGTCGGAAAATGTTCTAACCATGTTTTTGGTTCACATGTTTAAGACACGTTTACCACATGTTTTAGACATCTGGAAAGTATTCGGCAACATGCTTCCTCTCCATTGGTCGTCCTCCACAAATCTAGACAAGCGCGCTCCACTGCTTGCAAAGGAACTACTCGCAGATGGCCCGGATCCGCCGCGGGGAATATACGATCCATTACACTGGGACGAACGTGTGTTTTCCGCACGTTTGCGAGCAGGCACTCTGCGAGTGGTGCAACGCACTCGGCGAATCTCGAGTCGGACCAATCGGATCGAGATCGACCCCGCCGGGAAGCCTCTGCCCCGACGCCCAAGAGCATCCGAGGAGAAACCTCTGGGCTCCACGGGAGCCCCGGCGGGCCTCCGCCGAATCGCCTCGCGAAGTCCACTCGGATGGGGCACGGACCGGACCGCCAGCGAAGCGCCCCGAAGCAAGTCGAAGTCGGATCACCAGGCCCGGCTTCGGCCGACCTCGGCCGATGCCGGCGGACCGAACCCGATGGAGGCGGACTGGAACCGCGGCCCCAGCTGACGCATCCTGGCCATCGCTCGGACGTCCCTTCCCTATGCTTTTTTTTCGGTTCCGTGCGCGGCTTTTTTCCGCCAAAGGATCCAGGAGGCTCCTCGATGGTCCTCGCCGGAGAAGAAAAATGCACACGCCCGAGCGATGCCAAGCAGCTGACGCATGCAGTCGCACAGAATCCGAAGCGCGAGCGGCCCTGCCCGACGGCTCCCCGCGCTGCTCGGGGTCTGTTCCCCCTCGGGGCGGCGGCGAGCCGCGGCGAGCCGCGGCGGACGGCGGGCGGACCGCGCGCCGGGCGCGGGCGGGCACGGGGAGAGGCGAGAGCCCGGAAGGGCGAGAGGCGGCGGCGGCGGCGAACGACAGCGACGACGAGGGCGTCGGGGAGGGCGTCGGGGAGGGCGTCGGGGAGGGCGAAAACGGCGAGGCGATGAGGGTGGCGAGGGCGGCTAGGGCGGCGAGGGCGACGACGACGGGGGCAAGGGCATTGTGACGAAGGGAGGGCATCAAGGATGACAATCGATGAAAGTGAAGTTGGAACTCACGATGTCCTCGACTGGATGGGCAAACAAGCACCTCATCTGCTTGAACCTGTGACCTGTTGCACCATTGCACACCTTGGCAGTCGTCACCGCTGCACACAAAGTACGAGCGTTTGGGTTCCGCGCCTGTCAGCAGGCCTGTCGAACGCCAGCCAGGCGAATCCGAGCGATGCTAGCGTCGTTCTCGCTAAGCTTCTCCAATGTTCGGTCAATCATTTGAGAATTGAGCCACGTCCATGGCCAGACCGACCCGTAGATACAAAGCTGCGTAAAGAAATCATCGTGGACAGCCCGCGATGCACCTCGAACGACCGAGTCGTTTCTTGCCGACGCGGATTCTCGTGCGCAGGCGATGCTGTGCCCGCTTCCGCCGTCGAACAACGTGAACTTGCCGCCCCCCATTCAATGCTTCTATCGATGATGCCGAACACGTGGACATTGACTCTCCTCCAAGCTTGACGCTTCGTGCGCGCCATCGCCGTACGTTTTCTCTTGCTGGGCCGCTTCGACCTATCGCGAGCTGTTCGTGGTGATGGGGACGGCATGGTTGAACACAATCACCAACGAACACATGCTTGCTCCAACGCGGCGATGCAGACATTCACCGTGTTAAGCAATGACGGGACGCGTTGGGAGCTAAGCGACCACCACAAACACGCACACACACACACACACACACGAGCACGATCAAACGATCGGGCTATTTTCCTCATGTTCGTCATCATTCTATCAGGGGTCCTCCCGTTTCTCCCCAGCGTTCCCCATCATCCTCCCACTCCTCCTGCTTCTCATCCCGTTTCTCCTTGCCTCGTCGTCACCGTCGCTGGCCTCCATCCGTTGCGGCTGGTGCTGCTGCTGCTGGCTTCAGGGTCGCAGGCGGCGCAGCCATCCCCCCCAGGGGCCGTTGCCCCTGGTGGGGGGGAGCTGGGAGGAGGAGGAGGAGGAGGAATAGGAGGAGGAGGAGGAGGAGGAGGAGGAGGAGGAGGTCCAAGTGGAGCAGATGCACAGCCTTGGGCAAACCAAAGAAGCGAGGGGCGAAGAGCGCCCCCCCCCCCCCCCGGGGGGCGGAGCAGCCACGTTTTCCTGGCCCCCCCCCTCTGGGGAGAGAGGGGACGAGGCACGTGCGACGAAACGGCGGAGAGGACTCCGCTCGGGAGCGAGCGGCGGCAAAGACTTGGTCGACCCAAAAGTAGGGGGTCCAGCGGAAAGGGGGTGGTGCAATGGATGTGGGGCAATTGTGTTGCAGATGTACTGCGCCGGAGAGTTGTATTGCATCGTAGTGCGACGGATGCATTGCACGCGAAAATCCAGCAATACATCTGCGGCCCAGAATGTATTGCATGCCCCCGATGTATTGCAACCCCACAAATATATTGCACCAAATCTATTGCATCACCCCCTTGTCGCTGGACCCCCTTTTGGGTCAACCCGAAAAGATTGGGCAGGGACCGACCGTCCGGGCATCCCTGCAGGCCTACCACGACACGTTCTTTGAGCCCCGGAAGATGCTCCAAGGCCAAAAACAGTATGCTCAGAACCCGAGGCCGACGTGCTAAAACGAGACGATCTCAGCCAGACATGTTAGGAGAACACCTCGCGCAGACCACAAAAGGCTCTTAGAACACTCTTCGGTGGGCCTATAGGCGAGCCAGGACGCGTCGCCGCTGCTCGAGGAGCGAGCGGCGGCAGAGAGGCGGCAAGAAACGGTAGCGGCGAAAGAGCGCAACAACAAAAAGAAAAAACAACAAAACAAAACAAAAAACGCGGCGGCGAAGCGCGGCAGGGCAGCTCCGGCCCCCGCCGCCCTGCCGCCTCTCTCCCGGGGCCTCCGCCTCCCTTCGGCTGCACGCTTAGGTCGGGCGTGTCCCCCTACAGGCGGATTCCGGACGAAAAATACAAGATACCCCAAAAATACCCCCCCAGATGCCAAAAAACATTAAAACAAATCGTCCCCAGACTATTTTTGGATTTTTGTTTGAATGTTCCCCCTGTAGAGGGACAGGCCCGACTTAACTGCACGCAAGGAAATGGCCCTGGGCAAGATGTGACCTCTGGTGCGCGGCTTCTTGGGGGCCCTGGGAGGGGGGCGAAACCTCCGGCGAGTTACACGCAGCAGCGAACTTGGGCAAGGGTGACCTCGGGTGCGCCGCTTCCGGGGAGCCGCGGGGGGGTGGGCGGAGGGGGGAGAAGCCCAAGCGCGCAGGACGGAACTACCGCATCGCATTCGGCGATCGGGGGATCCCAGCTGGCCCGCACTGGCGAAGGGCCACTCTTACGTGTATTCCATCTCTTGGGGGAACAAGAAGGTACAGGTGCGTCCTGGCCAGGATCTCGAGGCAAAGTCCGCCGCGGCGACGAGGGCCTCCTGGGAGGCCCAGGCGAAGGCGAACAGCACGGAGGAAGGACAGCGGCACCGGTGCCTCTTCCTCCCCTTCGGCGCGAATGCATGGGGGGCGATAAGCGAGGGGGGAGAAAGGTCCCCTTGCCGGGCCCTGAAGAACCCCATCTGGGGCCCTAACGAGCCCCTCTAGCCTTCAGGGGCCTTAGAGGGCCCGTTTTCTGAAGCCCTCGCTGCCCCCCCATCTAGCGCCCCCCCCATTACTGACTACCTGCCAGACCACCCCAACCCAACCCCAAGACCCGAATTTCGGGTTGGGTGGGGTACGGGCTTCATGTGTGTTTTCGTCCATGTTCCCGGACCCCCCCCCAACTGGAAATGGAGGGCAAATTGAGGCCTTCGGGTTGGGTTGGGGTGGTTTGGTGGGTGGTGAATTACGCGCCCCCTCCTCCTCCTTCTCTTCCTCCTCCTGCTCGTCCTCCTCCTGCTCCTCCTCCCTCCTCCCTCCTCCCTCCTCCCTCCTCCCTCCTCCCTCCCCCCCTCCTCCCTCCTCCCTCCTCCCTCCTCCCTCCTCCCTCCTCCCTCCTCCAGAAAGCCTTGGGGCCGGCCGAGAAGTGCTCCGCGGTGAACTCCGCCCGAGCCCCGATGCGGCGCCCGCCGGCCGCGGCGGCGCCCCGCGGGCGGGGGTGCTCCCCGCGCGCGCCGCCGAGCGCCCCAGGCCTGCAGCACTGGGGGTCCTGCGGACTCCTGGCCGGCGGGGTAGGAACAGGGGCGACCCCTCCAAATCCTCCTCCTCCTCCTCTCCTCCTCCTCCTCCTCCCTCCTCCTCCCCTCCTCCTCCTCCTCCTCCTCCTCCCCTCCTCCTCCTCCTCCTCCTCCTCCTCCTCCTCCTCCTCCTCCTCCTCCTCCTCCCTCCTCCTCCTCCTCCCCTCCTCCCCCTCCCTCCTCCCTCCTCCCTCCTCCCTCCTCCCTCCTCCTCCTCCCTCCTCCCTCCTCCCTCCTCCCTCCTCCTCCTCCTCCTCCTCCTCCTCCTCCTCCTCCTCCTCCTCCTCTCCTCCTCCTCCTCCTCCTCCTCCTCCTCCTCCTCCTCCTCCTCCTCCTCCTCCTCCTCCTCCTCCTCCTCCTCCTCCTCCTCCTCTCCTCCTCCTCCTCCTCCTCCTCCTCCTCCTCCGCCCCTCCGCCCTCCGCCCTCCGCCCTCCGCCCTCCGCCCCCTCCTCCTCCTCCTCCTCCTCCTCCTCCTCCTCTCCTCCTCCTCCTCCTCCTCCTCCTCCTCCTCCTCCTCCGCCCTCCTCCTCCTCCCTCCTCCCTCCTCCTCCTCCTCCTCCTCCTCCTTCTCGTGCCTCCCTTCCTGTCTCCCTCTCTGCCATGGAGCCCATAGGTGGTCGGTGCCGCCCGTGTTCCTGTGGGCTCCTGGCCAGCGGGGTATAGAAGAATTACGCTACCGAGGCTGGAGTGATGATAGCTGAAGTGAAGCATGTAAGAATGATGTTGGTGGCCGTTGCCCCGCCGATACCATTGGTGACGCCACTCAAGAGGAGAGGTGGAAGAGGAGAAGCGCCGCGTTCTGCGCCATGGCCCGCATAGACGCCGCGTTCGAGGACCACCCCCTGCGCACCCCCTGTGGTGTCGAGAATATGCCGCGCCTGCCATGCCCTGCGCCATGGCCCGCATGAACGCCCCGCTCGGGGACCATTCCCTGCGCACCCCCGGTGGTGTCGAGAATATGCCGTGCCTGCCACGCCCTGCGCCATGGCCCGCATAGACGCCCCGCTCGGAGACCACCCCCTGCGCACCCCGTACGAGGTCGAGAAAGTGCCACACCTGCCACGCCCTGCGCCATGGCCCGCATAGACGCCGCGCTCGGAGACCATCCCCTGCGCACCCCCTACGGGGTGAGGAAAGTGCCACACCTGCGCCATGGCCCGCATAGACGCCGCGCGCCCGGCACCACCCCCTGCGCACCCCCCTACGACGGTCGAGAAAGTGCCACGCCTGCTGCGCCATGGCCCGCAAAGACGCCGCGCTCGGAGACCACCCCCTGCGCACCCCCTACGAGTCGAGAAAGTGCCACACCTGCCACGCCCTGCGCCATGGCCCGCATAGACGCCGCGCTCGGAGACCACCCCCTGCGCACCCCCTACGAGGTCGAGAAAGTGCCACACCTGCCACGCCCTGCGCCATGGCCCGCATAGACGCCGCGTTCGGAGACCACCCCCTGCGCACCCCCTACGGGGTGAGGAAAGTGCCACACCTGCCACGCCCTGCGCCATGGCCCGCATAGACGCCGCGCTCGGAGACCACCCCCTGCGCACCCCCCGGGGTCGAGAAAGTGCCACACCTGCCACGCCCTGCGCCATGGCCCGCATAGACGCCGCGCTCGGAGACCACCCCCTACGCACCCCTACGAGGTCGAGAAAGTGCCACACCTGCCACGCCCTGCGCCATGGCCCGCATAGACGCCGCGCTCGGAGACCACCCCCTGCGCACCCCCTACGGGGTGAGGAAAGTGCCACAACTGCCACGCCCTGCGCCATGGCCCGCATAGACGCCGCGCTCGGAGACCACCCCCTGCGCACCCCCTACGAGGTCGAGAAAGTGCCACACCTGCCATGCCCTGCGCCACATGTGGGGAACCAGAACCCCACGAAGCATGTGGGGAACAAGAACCACACTAAGCATGTGGGGAATGTGTTTGTCTGTATGTGTGTATGTGTTTATGTGTGTATGTGTGTATGTGTGTGTATGTGTATGTGTGTATGTGTGTATGTGTGTATGTGTGTATGTGTGTATGTGTGTGCTTTGATGTGCTGTGCTGTGCTGTGCTGTGGGTGAGGGAGGAAGGAAGAGGAGGGGGAGGAGGAGGTGAGACGCGGGTGCGGCGCGGGTTGGAAGAAAACAAGAACCCCACTAAGCTTGTGGGGAAAAAACACATAAAGCATAAACTGTTGGCGCTCTGCGCGGATTTCTTGGGTTCGCACTGGACCCCCCTCCCTGGCGCGCGGAGCGCGCCAGGGGCGGCGCCGGAGGCGCCGCCGGGGGGCCCAGGCGCGGATCCAAGAAATCCGCGCGGAGCGCCAAAAGTTTATGTTTGTGTCTTTTTCTTCTTCGAGGGTAGGAACAGGGGTGACCCCTACAAATCCCTTTGATTCGGCGGCGAGCGAGGGGGGAAGTGAGGAGGAGAAGGCCCTCTCAGAAGGCGCCCGGCGCTTCTCAGAAGCCCTCGCGCCTTCTGAGAAATGGTTGGCGTCTTCGGGGAAGGCTTGGAAAGCTTCTCGGAAGGCCGGTGGATTTCTGAGCCTTCTGAGAAGGCCGTCTCCCTCTCACCTCCCTCCCTCGCTCGCCGCCGATTGATAGCAGCAGAGGTTAAGGGGCGAGTCGAGGAGTAAGAGGTCGGCTCGTGGGAAACGTGCCTTCCTGTTGTATTTCCTGGAGGTCAGGGATGAAAATACGGCCATGTACACCTCAGGGTATGTCCCACCAACCCTTTGGGCCGAGGTGGTCCAGCGATATCTTCCATTCCTCTTCCAAAAACCTTTTCCCATCGGGGAGGGGTTTCATCTCCTCCCCTGCCTGAAGTTTTTGGGGGCTGGCCTCCAAGGCGGCTCAATATGGCCGACGATGGTTCAAGATAGATTCCGACATACCTTCAAGAGGCCCGACGAGGGCAACAAGACGGTTCCAAATGCTCTCGGAGCCCCTCCCCCCCAGGATCCCCCCAAAAAGGCCCAAATCCTTCAAAAAGTCCCCCCATATGGGGCTCGTCTGCTTTTTTTTAACGCTCGCAGAACCCTCCAGCGGCGCGCCCCCCGCACGCGGGGGGGAAGCGCGGGCAAGCCCCGAAAACGCAGGCTGCGCTTCAATTCGCCGCGCTGATGCTCCTGGCAGTTGGGCGCGACCCAGACCCAACGCAGCTCGGCGTCGCACAGCAATGCACCGCGCGCGGCCCGACTGCGCAAAGCGAGGCGACGACCACCGCAACGGCGCTGCGCTGGAGAGGCGGCACCACCGACGTGGTCCGCCGCCGCTCCGTCCTCCGCTCACGGCCTGCCGCGGAGAGCGGACGGCGCCGACGACGAACGTCGACCGGCGAGCGACGTTGCCGACGTCGACGTTCGTCGCGACTGTCGCCGACGGTCGTTGTAGTCGAAGGTCACCCTCAACTGAGATCACGGCTAGGGGTGCTCAGGAGACAGGGGGGTCAGAAGTAAATGCGAATGTGGGTCATATGTGACCTAGCCTAGCTTATAAGTGGGCTACAAGTGCCCGAGGTACGGCACGTTGATTGGATAACTCCGCGAAGTGGGCTCTGTCCACTCACACCAGATCTGCGCCACACCTAAACCACTTGGGGCACGTGCAACCGCCGCGGTCATCTCAGAATACAGCGCGAGAGGCCTCCAAGACTTCAAGCGGCCCACCAGGAGAGTGCGAAGAGGCCAAAATGTTCTATGCGTTTTGGCAGATGACCGTTTTCTCGCCTTGCCGGGCTTCCGACAGCCGAAGCCTGCCCCAGATGCATCCAAGGTACAGTCGGGGCCCTGAAGAAGGAACCCTTTTCGTTGGGGAGGGGCTCCGCGTTCCTTAAGTGTTTCACAGCTTGCCTCAGGTGTTCCTTATGTTTTCGATCGGAAATCGAAATTTAACTTATGGAAAAAAGGGGCCTCGTTCCGTATTTCGGGTTCCTTAGGTCAACGCCCCGACTGTAGTCCCAAGACGGCGCCAGAAGCCCCAAGATAGGCCAAGAGGGCCCCAAAAGGACCCCAGAGGCCCCCAAGACGGCCCCAGGACGGTTCCCAAGACGGCCCCAGAGACGCCCAAGACAGCCCAGACGCGCCTAGAGAGGGCCCCAATACGTTTCAGCGTGGCCCCCAAGACAGCCTGCGAAGGCCCAGAGGCCCAAAAGGGCCCCATGAGACCCCCGAGACGACCCTCGAAGGCCCTCAAGGGTACCCTCAGAGACTCCCAAAAGACCCACAGGAGGGCCCCAAGACGCCTCCTCCGCTCCTCCTCGCCCTCCGCTCCTCCAGTCCTTTTCCTTGCGGTGACCGTTTTTCTATTCGACATTTCAACATGGGGAGGAAGGGGGAGGGGAGGGGGGCTGGGGTCTGGCTCCGGACCTCTGCTCAGCGCGACTGCTTGCGACAGTGCGTCCATTGTGGGGGAGGCTCCACCTGCTCGGAACAGGCGCCAAAAACAGCCAAGATCTACGCTTAAGTCGGGCCTGTCCCCCTACAGGGGGATTCTCGACGAAAAATAAAACATACTTTAAGAATAATTGAAAAATAGTCCGAAAATGGTCTGGGGACTATTTTTTGTATCTTTTGTACCTTTTGGGGGCATTTTGGGGGGATCTTTTATTTTTCGTCGAAAATCCTCTGTAGGGGGACAGGCCCGACTTAAATCTACGCCATGGGGGGGGGACGAGGGCCCGCGCCGATCGGCAAAACAACGAGAGAGAACAAAAAAAAAAAAAAAACGGTCGCACGAATAACTCCGCCACGTCGCACCCGCCAGGCGTGCCGGGCGGGCGGGCCAGACGTTCCGCCCCTGCGACGCCCTCGCCACGTGCGACCTAGAAGCCTGAAGCCTCCTCCTCCTCCTCCTCCTCCTCCTCCTCCTCCGCCTCCTCCTTGCAGCATGGAACGTGCGACCCTCCATGCTGCAAGCATGGAGGTACTGCCCCGTGCGAAGAGCAACTGGTGTTTGGTGAGCCCCCCAACCCCCCATGTCAACGTTGATCGCGCGA